GATATGTGTGCCATTAAGCCAAGACTTAAGGGATATTTAATGTTGAATAAATTCTTTACAACACATTTTATATTTTAGGTTGCGGTTTGTATAGAACCTAGGCCCTAAACAATCAAATTAGAGCCTATCTTCAAATAGTGTCAAGAAATATTGTTTCAATACCAAAAATCTTTTTGATAGCCTTAAAATATATTTTCATCTTTATTTATAAATTTAAAAGCTTACAAAATAATGTAGATCGGGAGATCTATGAAAACTTGAAAATCTTGAAATTTGATGATCCAAAAGTGCATTACAAAATACACTATTTCCAAAACTTGAAATCCATTTTTTTATCATGTCCATGCATCTTGATATTGAGATGATGAATTTGAGGATATTTGGGCATCAAAACAATATCTTCTATTGAATTTTTGAGGTAGGCTCGAATTTGATTGTTTAGAGCCTTGGCTCCCTGTAAACTTTTCCCTATATTTTAAGCTATTCCTTTTATCTTTGAGATTTTCAAAAGAAAAACAAAATCCAAAATAGGTTTAATCACTAACCGATTGTAAGGAGCAATAACAATTTACATATAACAATAACATATATATTTTATACTAAATATAAAAATTTACAGGTTTATAGACTCAAAGAAGATCCCACTTCTCGATTTTCATGGTTGGGGATAGCATCTGTAGGTCTCTCTTTTTCTCTCTACCCCCTCACCAACGCATTGTGGGTTGCCCTTTATAGGATGAAGGTGGGGCTCTTCCTATTTAAAGAGGTCGGTCCACTAACCCATTAGTAGTAGTATGTGATAACTAAGAATTTTGAGAATGGAAAATAAATAAAAATATCGAACAGGGAAAATTATGGAAATCCCTCTTGACTCTAGTTTTTGGGCCCAAAAATACTTTTTTTGACTCTACTTTCTTTCTAGGCATCTTTTTTTTTAATATTTTTTTTAAAAATTATAAAATACACTTTAAAATGGACTATCTACGCAATTTAGTTTGACTCCAATTTTTTTCACGCTCTTCTCCCTCAAAGAACCTTTCCTCGTAAAAACCCCCCCTAATGCAAAAGTAACATAAAATAAGACTAGAATACCCTCGTTTCTTTTCACACGACCTTCTCTCTCCTGTTTCTTTTCACACGGCCTTGGGCTTCGGCAATGGAGGACTACGCTCCGGCCATCCTAATGCGTGGTCCGACAGCCACAATGTGCGCTCCGGCAATCACAATGTGCGCTCCGGCAGTGATTTGTCTGACCCGCATGGCTTCGGTATACTGAGAACTGTGCTCCGGCAGTGATACTGCACACTGCAGTAGTCCGCTTCAGCAATCTGAGAATGCGCTCGGGCATTGAAAATACGCACTCCAGCAATTCGCTTTGGCAATGTAGCACCGCGCTCTGGTAGTGCTTATTGACATTCTACTCCGGCAGTAGTATACTGCTCTCCGGCACTACTCTATTTGAGATCACAAATTGATTTGGTTTGTATGAGAAGGGCATTTCTATCCAAAAATTAAGAACTTTTCACCTTGGATGGTTTTTGCGAGGAAATGTTGTTTGAGAGAAAAAAGTGAAAAAAAATTCGGGTGGGGGTAAGTTACATAGATAGTTCATTTTAAGGTGTATTTTGTAATTTTTCTACTTTTTAAACCACACATTTAACCCCAAAATTATTATTATTATTTTCTACTATTATATTTCTAAGGATGAAAATACCCTTTCTAGCACACATGTTGTCAGGCGCACAAGTTTCTCTAATCATGTTAGGCACAATAGGTGCTGAACCGGCTTCTATCACAAAAATATGTCCGTCCGACCCAAGCACAAAAATATGTCCGCTCAACAACAAATATTTTATAGACTGGCACAAAAATATGCTTTGATCAGCACAAAAAATTTGTCCTATTGGCACATTGGAGCTAATCGGATCAAATGTATCGGACCAACTCTATAGTAAGGTTGTGCCAATCCAATACATTTTGTGCTGAATCGGTTTAGAGGGAGAAAGTGGGAAACTTTGACAAAATAAAAAAGAAGAGTATTTTGGTCCAAAAAAACTCTACTCGTGTAATTTTCTTTTTTAGGGATTTGGAAAGAAGATGCCTGGAAAGTACACCTACCCATAATTTATCCAATAAAAACCTCTTAAAGACCATGGAGCCAATAACAAATGAATGATAAAAGGGTGCAGTTGGCATATGGATACATATGTAGCTGTGGAGGTAAGGTGTACCTTCAAATTTTATCATGGTATATAATTTTGATGTAAAATGTTCTTAGGATTATCTCAAAATTTATTTTAATATCTAATTATAAAATTTTAAAGTTTTAAAATGGTTAAAATCAAGTAGATCTATAAACATATGAAAATCTTAAAATGGATGGTGTAGATAATATGTTGTAAAATGTATTATTTCTGAGACTTAAAATCTTTTTATTTTTCATGGTCATAGATCTCGATGTCGAAATGATCAATCAAAGGGTTTTTAAATATTAAAACTACCTTTTTCGATAGATTTTTGAGATGCATCCGTAGTTCTACATTATAAGTTTTTATCCTTATATAAACTTTTTCCATGATAAAAATATGGAAGAACCGGGGAACGGTTCCCTAATAGAACCGGGGGAGCCAATTGCATCTTGAATGGATGGTGCAAGAGCTCGCTGACTCATTATCTAAGATGGACGTTATAAAAAATTTACAGGGCTAAAACAAATTTAGACGGTATAGAAATTTTTTGTAAAAAATATAACATTTTAAATATTAATTTTTGTTCACATTTATAATCATCCGAACCTACATCATGAATCCCTAAAATTTTGGATTAAAAATCAATTTTTAAGATGGGTATAAGTGGGGCCCGCATATACACAAAATGAGTCGGCTCACTCATAGAAACCCTAGCCTTGCCTAAGCCAAAAGATTTCAAGCTCTCATGGAAGCGTACTGTCTATTTACTCCTTCAAGTAAAATAAATCTAGCTGAAATTCTACAAATGTAACATCTCCAACACATAGACCAACTTCAATCAATTTTTTTTTCCAATTTGCACTCTATATAGGCTCGCAAAATATCATCATGATCACCATTCTCATTTAATCTTCTTTCCAATTAATTGGAGTTGGTTACATGAATCATTGTTATCCATTCTGCTAGGTTAAATAAAGGTTATATCTTTAGTGAGGCCATAATTCCTCATATTCTTTCGGACTACTTCCAACCACGTCTTTTTGAGCCTACCTTTTGTCTTTTTCAATCCTTTCATTTGAATTAACTCGCACATTCTAACAGATGTTATACTTGGTCAGTGCCACACATGGCCAACCCACCTAAGTCTAATTTCTCTCATTTTATCGCTTATTGCTGCCACACCTAAATTCTCTCAAAAAATATGTTGTCTTGAAATTAAACAAAGATCATCTAATTTTTGGAAAGTGGGATCTAAATATTAGAGAGTTTGAAATCCATTTATTTTTCTTTTAAAGAATTTTTGGAGCTCAGAATTGCCTTCAACCAAGTTAAATAAAAAAGAAAATTTGAGTATACCTTGTGTATACATGAACAAAATTATATTTTTTAGAGTGAATTAGGAACAGAAAAAAAAAAAAAACTAAAATACAAAATGAGCCAATTTTAGGTTAAAATGTTTTTTCGATAGTAGGGTTATGCCCTTAGTGTTTGGAGCAGTGCCCAGGCTAACATCAGACCACCTTCTGTAGTGTTCTTCAAAGCGGTTTGACGTCAACAACCTCAAACCATAAATACTTACTTTTTAAGCATTCAAAGGCGGTCCAAGCTACCGATTCTTGGACCGCCGTCTTTGGTGCTCTTTGGGGCAGTCAGAGATTAGCATCCTCAAACCGTATTAGCTCATTTGTTTACTAAGAAATAAAGCGGTTTGAGGATGCCAACGTCGGATTGGACACTGCCCCTCATACTAGGGTACTGTCCTACTAATGAAAAAAATAAAAAATAAGATTGGAGGAAGGCATTTTTGGACAGGGGTAATTTTGAAAAAATAAAAAAACATGGGTTGTCTGACCTTCTAAGTAATTTTCACCCAAAATTAGCCCATTTTATAATTTGTTTTTTTTATTCTTTTGTGTGTCTATACGTAAATTACTCTATCACAGCTTCAATCTGGGCCAATCATTTAATCATATCTTAAGAGTTCAAGAATTCAAAATCTACACTTATTTTCATTTACATCCAATCAGATCTTAAGAGTTGAGTTGAAGAATTCAAAATCTACTATTTTTGAAATTAATCATCTAGTAATTCTAGAGTTGATTCAAATTTTCATCCAAATATCCCCCTCTTAAGAGCGCGATCTACTACTACTTTCTATGGACTATGTATCCTCTCTCAAGAGCATGTTATATGCCGTTCAAATATTTCTATAGTAAAGTACATTCCAAGCATTTAATGTTCCTTTTATACCATGAGACTATTTACTATTGTTATGTGGACGTCACAATTTTGGAATTCTATACTATGATAAAATTGAAGAGTGAGGTTTTGTATAAGGTGTCAATCTTATATTATTGGAGCCTTAAAACTATGTTGAAATTGCAGTCTAAGATGCACCTCAAAACTATATCGAAAATGTAGTTTCGGTGCTGTCAAGCCTTGTGATGTTATGAAAATCTATTGTTGCCTTCAATTATAAAATTTAAAATTCTATAAATGATGACATTCAAGCATATCTATAAATACTTGAAAATTTTGAAAATGGACCGTCTAAAAAATGTATTAGAAGATAAATTTTTTTAAGACTAAAAATCCTATTTTTTTTCAATTCTATGAATACGAAGATCGTACCTTTTTTTTTTTTTTTTTTTTAAGACTAAAAATCCTCTTTTGTACCATGACACAATGTTGTAATGTGAAAGAAGAGGTTTAGAGAAGACGCATGCGCTGAAAGTAATGATGACCCATTTACGTCTTTTGTTGAGCACCTCTATATTTAACACTAAAACTACAAATTTCACACCCCAAAAATGTGTGAAAATCTGGGCTACTGCAAATTCAGAGATGGATGACAAATATGAACAATTTTCCTTACTTATTGGTTCAGTTCCTAAGAGATGTATGATCTATTGAAGGTAAAACAACTCATTTGCTACAAGGGGTAGAGAGAGAGAGAGAGATGGGCTTGGGCTTGGGCTTGTGATGTAAAAGTACTACAACTGCTACAAAAGATACAGATATGACATCTAACTGCTGTGTTCCAAGGAAATAGACACATAGTGAGAGGTCAATTGATCTTGCCGATCCGAGTCAATGATGCGTAGGCAACGAGTCTGTACCCGACCAGCATGATCCAGAGCACCAGTGCTGAGCGCACCATGTGATCCAACCCGATTGCCTTTATCATCGGAAAATCGGCGATCCGGCAACTCTTGCCCGGCTCGCACTCGTACATCTCATCTACAGAGTACTGCGAACCCAACAGCAGCTTAAATGTGTAATGGGTCATCGAAATGTATCTGATCCAGGCCATGAATACCGGAACCTTCTGAATGAAGTATCCTCCGGTGAGCATGAACGTGAGTGTAATCACAGATCCGAGTGTCGTTGCATTCCTGAGATTCATGACCATGGCGCCGATGGCCAGGCCCAGGCCACCGGCGATGAGGACATTGTAGAGGACGACAAACAGTGTGCAGAGGAAGTGCAGGGGGTCGGGTTTGAGGCCGCCCATCCAGTAGATAATGGTGACGAAGGAGGTGGGAAGGAGGAGCTCCATGGGGAGGTCTCCGGCAATGCGGGCCATGAAATAAGCAGAGAGGCGGTACATGGCGGAGGAGCGCTCCTTGTGGAGCATGAGGCGCTCCTGCGGGAAGGTGAAGATGGACTGGAAGAGGGGGAAGAAGCCCCAGAAATTTGTGCAGAAGAAGAGAAGTCCCACCTATGAATCAAACATCCCCATCAGCTCTTCTCTCTCTCTCTCTCTCTCTCTCTCTCTCTCAGGGGCAATAGGCACATGCCCTTCTCTCTCTCTCTCTCTCTGAGGGACAATAGGCACATGCCCTTCTGTCTCTCTCAATCACGGGCAACCCGGCCTCGGCAAGGGGTACATTATAAATGTTTTTGATTTGCAGGGGGCACAATTGCAACGCTGCAAGTGTGAGTTTCACCTTATAACTAGACACAAGAGTACCGTGGCCCCCACTACAAACTCCACAAGGGTTAATTCATATTTTCCACAAGGTGAGGTTCACCCTCATAACTAGAGAGTAGCCCCATAGCCACTGTTATTACTACTAGCATCCCTCCATTGAATTAATGAATCAATAGTCATTTTTCAATAATTTTATTTTTTAAAAATAATTGTAGGTAATAACAAAAAATATTTAAAATCTATATTTTTTCAGTCATTTACATACGAACCCTAAACGTTTTTCTAAAATACGAAATGCTCCAGAAAAAATTATAAAGAAGTTCTATCATGTCTTTTTTTATTTTTTCTAAAATTACTATTAAGTCTAAGGATGAAATCCTCCGTCCGAATTTTAATTTTTATTTATTTATTTTTGTTAGCAGGGCAATGTCCAAGGGTAGTTCCCTAATAACAAAAAATTAAAAATAACTAAATAAAATTCAGTCATAGGACATCCTCGAATAGAGGGGCAATTTTTTATTTTTATTTTTTTTAAAAAAGTGAGTTAACCGACCTACTTTATAACTTTCACCTATAAATGGAACATTTCATACATTAGAAAAAAATTTAGGGTCTGTACGTAAATCACTTTTTTTCTTTTAGGAATTTTTTTTCTTTTATTACCCATTTTAAACAAATTTTTTTTACCTGACCGGTTAATTAACCACACAAAGTAGCAATCAATAAAGGAAAAATATGCAATGAGACCATTTATTTTTGGAACAAGGTGGTCACAATTCATCTTGACTATTAGATGTGAAATTTGATGGCTGCATTTATTTCATTGACCAAACTATAACTTCAAAGGAAATTTTCTCAAACTTTGTGACACACTCCAGCTATCTGATTTTACATCAGATAGTCGTAAGTAAATTATGGCTTCTTTGTATCAAAGATAAAGTAATTATGGCCTATTTGTATCAAAGATAAAGTAATTATGGCCTCTTTGTATCAAAGATAAATAGTTTTGCATACAATCCCATAAATAAATTACAAATAACCCTGAAGACTAGACTTTCTATACAAGTTACCACAACCAAACTTTTTTTCTAACTTTTTTCCTCAAAGTTCACTTTTCTAGCCCAGTAAAATAAAATACATTTTTTTTACGAAAATACCTTTTTCCGTACATAAAAATTTAATTTTGGTCGGACATTCACGTGGGCTTATATGGGCTACCAGACCGCCCTTTAACATTGCTGGACCCCGTTAAACTAAAAAAAGTGCGGACCGCTCTTTGACATTGTCAGACAGCACTTTGGGCTTGTTGTCGGACCGGATGGACCTATTGTCGAACCGCTCTTTGGCAATGCTAAACCGCATGGGCTTATTGCCGGACCATTCTTTGTCAATACCGGACTGCCACTATATTTTCCGATATTATCTGCCAAACCGCCGCGCTATGAATGTGTTGGAAATTTTTTTTGGAAGGAGGAGAGAGATAGGGGTAAAAGGAAAAGAGGGTAGTTTAGACTTTTTAGGTTTGGGTATTTATATTTTGAAAAAAAAAAAAGTGAGAAAAAAATTTGTTTTGGGATTCATGAGGGTTATTTGTAATTTTCCTTAAAAAAAATATCCGTGTCTGTGTCTCTTGGCGATGGAAAACACCGTACCTGGTCCTGTAAATGGGTGGTGTCCGAGTGCCACCACAAGAGTCCAGACAAGAGCGAAACGGTAAAGACCTGAAAGAGTTTCAGGCGGGAGAAGGCTTCGTGGCGTCTCTCCTTCAAACCTCTCTCCAGCAATACCCTGAACTGCTGCCACCAGGTGGTGTGCCACTCCTGCTTCTTCCTTTTCTCTTCCCCGAACTCCATGGCCAGTTGCTCGGCTGCATGAGCATCCACCACCACCTTTGCTTTCAGGTTAGTAGCGTAGGCCGTCACGAGCCGCTGCTTCGCTGTCCTCTGGTCCTGATCCACACCATCAGATGATACCCCTACACCCATAGAGAGAGAAAGAGAATGCTCAGAGAGAGAAGCAAATTCTCAGTAAACACACAAAGAGAAGCAAAAAATATACAGAGAGAGAGAGAGAGAGAGAGAGAGAGAGAGTAC